TCTGGGTGAGAAGGGTCAGGAAGCAGTATTGTTTCCCCAGCTGTCTGGGGCCCCAAGACTAGGAGTGGCGCAGGGCTCAAACTAGGAGTATAGAACGGCGAGGGGGGAGGATGGAAGGGTGAATGTGGCTTAGGGAGTCCCAGCGCGGAGAGCTGCGCTGTAGACTTACCCCAAGAGCTATTTTTAAAAAATTTTATGTGTAAGTCAGGCGTGGTGGCACACGCCTTTAGTCCCAGCACTGGGAGGCAGAGGCAGGTGATCTCTGTGAGTTCAAGCCCAGCCTGGTCTACATAGTGAGTTCCAGACCTGCTGGGGCTACAGGGAGACCCTGTCTCAAAAAGACCGAAAAAAAATTACGTGTATGAATGTATTGCCTGCATGTAAGTGCACCTGTGGAACTGGAGTTACAGACTGTTAGCTTTTGTTAGCTGCCATGTGGGTGCTGAGAATCGAACCCAGGTCCTCTGCAAGAGCAACCAGTGCTTTTAACTGCTGAGCATCTCTCCAGATAATAGTACTTAAAAAAAAAAAAAAACTAACTACAAGACCATCATTAGATCTATTCAATGAACATTAACCCTTTGCCAAGTGTGGTAATGCAAACCTTCCAGGATTTGGGAAGCATGAATACAGGAAGTTCTTGAGTTGGAGGCCACCCTTCCAGCCTTGAATACATAAGGAGATCCTGTCTTAAAACACTCAGGAGGCAGAGGCAGGCAGATATCTGTGAAATGGAGCCCAGCCTGGTCTACATAGGGTGATCCAGGCCAGCTGGGGCTACAGGGAGACCCTGTCTCAAAAAAAAAAAAAAAAGATAAAATAACAAAGTTGACACTGACTCATTTAAAAAAATACTCAGTGAACAACAGTCATATTTCAATTGTCCCTTGCAAGCCTTTTTTCCAATTGGTTTAAATCGGGATGCAAGTAAGTCTATAAATTGCATCTAGTTGACTGATTACCTGTCACTTTTTATACCATTGACTTGATTGAAGAATGGTTAAACTTTCAGTGGATTAAGTCTTAATATAAATCACTACATTAAACTTAACTTATATATTACCAGACCATGACAGACCAGGTAAATGTAGAGACATTTTCAGATTGAGTAATTAATGGAAAATTCCAGAAAAGTCTTTTTATTTTGAATTATATTCTCAAAGACACAAAATGGAGATTTTGAAGTACGGGACACTGCCTTACTAGTACTGAACACAGTGCCTAATCCAACAGAAGGGAATCTATATTCATCTGTTTAGTAAGGGCATGGCAGACCTTGTAGAAAGTCATGGTGAAAGCGAGAGTTCTTTGAGCAAGACAGAAACACTTCCCAACGTCCATTCACTTTTGTCCGCCTTTGTTCAACCATCTCCTCCTTCAAGGTACAAATAATCTCCCCTTCTTTGCAAACCCTTTCCAACTATCACGATATTAGTATCGTATCTTGCCCTTAGAGGTTCCGAAATGAACACGTAAACGTCTCTCTGGAGTATTTATAGTAGTTAATAAGCCACGTTTTATGCTCAAATCACTTATGTCTGGTTTGGGATCTAACCACATCTCCAGCTCTGATCTCAAACTTCCTGGCACTGAGTCCCAATGGCATTCAGTTACAAGAGGTTCACAGAAGACAACGACTGCTAAAAGGAAAGAAATCCACATAAAACAGTCCTTACAGATCTCCCCGCCTCCCCCCAAAGCCCCGGCATTTCTGAGAAAAGCGGTAGATAATCTAGAAAAAAATCTGAAATTCAGCAAGCTAAGCGGCTGGCCAGGAGAAAAAAGTTAGCTGGGGCTAGCTCAGGCAGTTGGTCTGCAAGTCCTGAGCAGAGCCCCGGCAGCGTGTGGGCGCCCGGGTAAGAGTCAGGCCGGGAAGCCACCAGGGCTTCGCTGACGCCCCCGGGGAGGCGACAGGGCCTCGGGCAGCTTTACCTGGTCAGTTCTGGTAGCCAGGGATTTATCCGCCAGAATTCGCTCCTTCAACTCCTCCAGCTTCCCGCTGTAGGCCAAGTTACAGATCGTTAGGTTAGACACACACCCCTCCATTTCGCCGCTTTCCCAGGATTTCTTTCGGAGAAACGCAGGCCCCGCCCGCCTCATGCGGCCTGTTCCGGCAGCCAGTCAAAAGAGCTAGAGTTCCAACAATCACCCGCCCCTCTGTTTCCGGTGTTGCTTTCCCCACCGCCGGGCGCTTCGGGGGGTTGCAGTTGGAAGGCAGTTCCGGGCAGGGAGGCGCCTTTGCTAACGATGCGGATCCGGCCGTTGGCAGCCGCGAACTACAAATCCCAGAGTCCCTTGCGAAGACCATAGTCAAGTTGCCGGTGGAATCGGCCCAGGATGACAGCTGGAGAATGGAGTCAGGTATGGGGAGCGGCGTCTGGTGGCACTGTGTGAAAGAGCTAGGGTGGGTGGTCGCTGGTGGGTCACAGATTCGGTCTCATGAAACAGGAGCTTGAGCAGGGCAAGAGAATTCTGGGATCCTAAAGATCTTGCCCTTCGGGGCCCTCACTTGCAGTGGCAGGCGGAAGGGACAACAGTTGGAGCAGAGTACTACCTCCTGAGCTTGAACCACTGACTGTGGCTACCCTCCCCCTCCTTGCCACGGCCCAGGGAGTGGAAAGAAGTACAAACTAGTTACCCTGGCACCTCGGTGGACGGGCATCGGGGCAGGGTTCTGCCACAGTGATAGCATATGACACCATACAGATGTGATGTGCCAGAGTGATGCCAAAGACAGGGTGTGATGCCATGGGAGCCACTCGATAGCTAAGGGAGCTCAGTGACTCTAGCTTGGTGGCATTGCTACTTCACGAGCGTCATCTCAGGGATACTGGGGTATAGTATTGGCACTTTAATACCATGATAATGACTATGACATCGAAACTTCCCTAGAACTAATGAGTTAACAGTGTTTCTTTTTATAGACTTCCCAAATAGTGCCGCAGCGGAAGAGATGCAAGGCTTATCTTTCATAGAGTCTATCCAAAGGGCATTGTGACAAAATGTTAAGAATACATTCAAAAAGGTGACTGATATGTTTATATCTCTCCCGTTAGGTATAGCATAGTGCTTGGAAAACTTTGTGAAATGCCAGGTCATAAATATTTTAGGTTCTGCAGGGCAAAAGGTAAAATCAAGGATATTTTGTAAGGATTTATATGACAGGATAGAAAACAAGTTTTGACAGTTTATTGATGAAATTCAAGATGTGATGGTAATGGAGTACTTTCTGTTAACATGGAAATACTAATAAGAAGAATGGGATTCTTTTGAGGATGTAATATTTTGCTTACTTGAAGTTTGAAGTTAATATTCTCTATAATCAAAATTGATTCCAAATGATCTTCTGTTAAAATCGTATATTTTCAATCTATTGAAAATGTTATTTCAGTAAATTCTAATCATTTTATTACATTTTATTGATGTAGTGGTGTGTGTGTGTGTGTGTGTGTGTGTGCGCGCGCGCGCGCGCGCGCGCGCGCCCACACCGTGGGGGGAGGAGGTGTTTTTCTCATCTCTATGTGTGGGCCATAGGGTGAACACACACAGGAGAGGGGGTCTACCGAGAGCGACACAACACCACCCAGTAAATTCTAATCATTTTATTACATTTTATTGATGTAGTGGTGTGTGTGTGTGTGTGTGTGTGTGTGTGTGCGCGCGCGCGCGCGCGTGCGTGCCCATACCATGGTTGGAGTAGTTGCTTTTCTCATCCTTCTATGTGGGTCCTAGGGATTGAACACACAGGTCAGTAGGCTTACCCAGAGAGCGACATCACCAGCCCCAAATTCTGATTTTTATTTAAATAAATTTAAACTTTTTAAGAATAGTTTTAGACTTATAGAAAAGTTGCACAGAAACAGAGTGTGGTGGTGCACACCTTTAATCCCAGCTTGAAGGAGGCAAAGATAGGCAAATCTCTGTGATTTCAAGGCCAGCCTTGTTTACATAGAGAACTCGAAGCCAGCCAGGGTTACATAGTGAGACCCTGTCTCAAAAAAAGTTACAAAGATAGTACAAAATTCCCACATATTCTCCAGATTCTCCTATTTTGTTTTCCATTTCAACAATTTAATTGAGATATAATTTTACATATCATAAAATTCACCTGAGGTTAGGACTGCTCATTGGTAGAGCATTTGCCTGGCATGTGCAAGGTGCTGGATTCAATCCTCAGCACTACATAAAGAAACAAAAAAATAAATAAAATTCACCAGTTTTAAGTATGTAATTGATTGTGACTAAGTTTAAAGAGTGATGCAGCTATCACCATAAATCATTTGTAGAACACTTTGATCTTCACAATAAGATCTATGCCTATTTACAGTTAATGTTTGTCTCTGCTCCCAGTCCAGGCAATCACTAGTGTACCCTTTGCCTATAAATTTGCCTATTCTGAACATTTCTAAGTGAAATTATGTAATATATGTTCTTTTGAGTTTGATTTCTTTCACTTAGCACACTAATTTTGAGGCTTAATCAGATTGTATTATGTATAAGCTTTTCCTTACTTTTTATTGACTGATAATATTCCACTTTATGGACAGTATTATTTGGGGGCATCTTAGTTGTCAATTCACAGAAATTTAGTTCTTTCAAATTATTGTCTGACTAATGCTGCTAAGGATGTTTGCTTGAGAGTCTTTGGGGACATTTGTTCTCATTTCTCTTTAGTAATTCCTGGATAATAGGAAAACTTGTGTTTAATTTTTGAAGAAACTGCAAAACTATTTTCCAAAGAGGCAGCAACTTTTGCACTTCACCTAGTAAAGTACGAGGATTCCTGTTGTTTCATATCCTCACCCAAATTTACTGTTGGGCTCTTCCACTTGTTCTATTGTGTTTGAAAGAGGACATCTTATATAGCCCAGTACGTCTTCAAACTCACCATCCTCCTGCCTCTCAAATGTTGGGATTTTAAATGTGTACCGCAATGCCTGATCCGTACTTTAAAAAAAACATAGCCATCTAAGAAGGTGTGAAATGGTATATTTTTGTAGTATAAATTAAAAAAAAATAATTTATTGAGAATTTCATACATGCATATAAGGTACTTTGATCAAATCCATGACCACTCCCTCCCCTCGAATTCCTCCCATATCTCCCCATCACTTTTTCTATGATAACTTCATGTACTCTTTCTTCTTCTTTAATTTTTTTATGGGGCTTTTTGCTACTCTGACATTTCCCCCTCTGAAGAGGTAACCCTAAAATCGTTTAAGGATTAGATAAAATCTAC